AGAAAGTTGTCATATATGTCCCACAAGCCACACTGACATCTGGATACACTAAAATATATACCCCCCACCACAACAACCCTGTTAGAAACACTCGTGTGCATAGATGCAAGATCTGGCTCTCCTGTTACCCTCTGCAGAAAGACAAACCAAACAGGATCACATGAAAGGATGCCGTTTATCTCGCTTTCCATATCACCCTATCAGACATTCAGTGCAGCGTTCATGTAAAGATATTTACAAGGCATTCGTAACATCACATTGAGCAACGGCTGAGCTTATTTTACAGTAGCACAAAGATGGGTAGGGGGAGGTGGGGGTTTCCAGAGGGATCAAGACAGACAAACAGAAAGCTACCATAGACGAAACAGATTGTCAGACAGGCATCCTGCCTTGGGTTTGCGATTTAGAATACTAACAAGGCATGTGCTCACACCAAGGGATACAAGAAGTGATGTATGGCAGAGTCAAACAACATCGAGGGAGGTCTGGTTTATCCTTGATATTTGTCCGTCTTGAATGCTTCCCCTGAAATGTAGGCGTTTCATTACTATTCCTGTATATTTTTTTCCTTATGACTAAATAAATGAGAAGTGCTCATTATTAACTTCAAGATTTGATTTTTAAATTAATCACAGGGGTTCTTGAAGTTTATATATGACTGCTGTGAATTAGAGGGAACCCAAATCTCTCCAACCAAGGCTCCCATATGTTATTCCATAGTAGTTTAGGATCTGATTATTTATCCAAACCTCTGCTGCCATTTGAACTAGGGCTTCAAAGCAGCTTGTGGCATCTTTCATGTCACATTAAAATGCTCAATCAGATTTAAGGGTCTTCAATTGACATCTTCATGGTGATTAGAGCTTATTTTAAGTGGCATGCTCTCCATGTAATTACCAAACAGATGTCTTTTGCATATTTTTCCAATAAAGTAATTTTCATGGGTTATAACAAAAAGCAAAATGAACAATAATAATCATCCATGAGACGCTTTTCAGTACAGAAAATTATACTTGATAGAAAATGAAGAAAAATACAAGATGGTTTTTAATACGTTTTTTTTTTTTTTTTTACATTACTTGCACAACAATCAATTATTTCTGCTGCTAGTAAATTTATTTATTTTATTTTTTTACGGAAGGATGATTTGCAAGAAAATGCTGCACATTCTATTATTAACAGATGGTGGATTTGGTTTTAAAATCTCACATAATCTCATTACCTTTTTTCTGCTCTAGTGGCCTTTTTTAAGAGAGAGATTGGAAAACATGCTGCAAAGGTCCACAGGTTTGAACTGGAAATAGAGACACATGCCATACGGATAACTCTTCAAAATAACAAAACAACATTAACTGATGTACATTTTTCGCTGGTTGAAAAAGGTATCCATACATTTTTTTTCTTGTTTTCATTTGTAACTCTATTAGGTTTAAGGTCTTCTTCTAAAATGGATGCTCCTTTTAGCTGAATGTTATATTTTGAACTCTTTGTTTTCAAGGTTGATTTACAATATTGATACCCAGATGAGTTTGATTATAAACAAAGGTATCATCCTAAAGTTATAATAAAGGCCTTACTTCTGTTAGTGAAGAAATACCCATTTTGTTCCTGTCATAAAGTTTGACAATTCCAGTTGTATTCCTGTCATATGGACCTCTATCTGCCTTCATGACCGTGAGCACACAAGGTTCTGTGTGTGAACAGAGGGAGCTGTGTCTTTAATCAATATCTCTCCTCATATTTCTGTATTTCCATTTTCTCCTGTTTCTAATTTTGTTCTTAAGAGAAATAAACTAAAGCTCAAAGGTTAAGGAGGTTTGGGATCATTTGATCACCAATTTTACCCCCATTTCAAATCAATTTGTAGAAATTTTGTTACTCTTATAAAGAAAAAAAAAACTTAAAAGGAAGATGGTACCAATACAGATGTAGAAACAGCAGCATAACATCATGGCTCTTCTTCCTCCTTATGTTTCAGTGCTTCTACAAAAGTGCTTTGGAAACAGTATAACTTGTTTTTGTTGAAGATGTCCAAAATGCTTTTGAGATTATTTTATTACTAATATATTGAGTTAATTTATTGTTTAAATTATACTGTCTGTATTCTTTTCTCTTGTAAATCTATTTGAAAAGCGAAAGCTCTTTATCATACGACCTAGTGTGTTAATGTATTATGGTAAAATATTAGATACAGTTTATTAGGGAAAAAAATCCACATGGAAAAAAAAATCCATGTGGATTTTTCCTTTCATGTTGGGTTTAACAGTTTAAGAAATTGGGTGCAGAGTGTCTAATAGCTTTAGTCTAATAGCCTTTAGTTTTCCACTATTCCAATAATTTCATCACATTGAAATAGCCATTGTTAATCTACAGGCGGCAGTTTAAAGATAAATAAATGAACAGCATTACTTTATTTAAATGCAAAAAAGTTACACAGTTCAGTTCAGGCTTTTTGTCCTTGCTACCCTCATTTATTTTAAATTAGTTTCCAGTTATTTCACTAAATAGCCAAAATTCCCATTTAAAAACACACATTTCTTTGTATACATGTCTAGGTCGTAGGTGTTAACATTGTTTACTGCTGTTTTTCATAGTTAAATGAGATCTAGATAAAAGTTCCTGTGTTCTGGAACTCTTTTTTTTTAAATTGTATTCAACAAGGATGGCGTGGGTCCAGCAGGTCCAAGAGCATTTTTGGATCTGATAAAGTCCATCTATGATTATCGTTTCATTTGAAATGTCTAAGAGAAATTATGATTCAATCTGGCTTCAGTTCCCCACCTCAGTCACCACACAACCTGAGTGTCACCAATTTCTGATCTCTCCAAAAAAAGAAAGAACGTACCCGTACAGATGAGTCAGAGTTTGCATGAAGGATCGTACATTTTCATGGAAAGTTAGATTTCTATAAATCACAAACTTTGCATGGAAGTTGAAGGTTGCAATTTACTGGACCGATTTTGTGCATAGGCAAAATGTATAAATCAGACCCCAGGACCCAATTAGTCCTGAGTCTGATTTATGAAATTCTGTTTGGTTTGGTTTGTTTTTACATTTTTAGATAGAAAACATAACATCTTGATTATCTGTAAATAAGAACCAGATTTTTCAATGCACTGGATTTACATTCATCAATTTTCATGTTTATTAAGCTGAGGAAGTCTGCCTACAAGAGAGAAACATTGAGAGAATATAGTCTCTATCCCTCTTTAGTTGCCTGAGCATCAAACTATGAAGGATTTCATATATTTGCCTTATTACTGCAGAAATGAAATGACACAAAGAGTTTGAGGTTTTGGAAATTGAAGCATTAATTCCAGGATATGTTTCACACCTAATTTAAAAAGTAATGTGCCTGGCAATTTCAAATTTCAGTTATGCAGTATACTGCCATATGAAGAGGTTGCTCTAGTGCTCCCAAACTGCCCAGATAAAGCTCTCCTGAAACCAAAGAGCAAACTTCATAACTCTATTATTTTACTTCCCCCATTATTCCAGGTCTTTTACTTGAAACTCTTTGGATCACCAGGATTTAATTCACAAGCGGCTCCTGTAAGCTATTGTCAAGATTAAGCAAACTACGACATCACTGTGGACTCACACCTCAATGAACTCACACCTAATATGTAATACATTTTCTTCCAAATTAGAAATGCTCTTGTAGTTTGTTGGTGAATTTGTATTATGTCATATATGCAATAAGGTTAATTGAATAATTTCTTTTCAAGGAGTTCATTGAATAAAAGCTAATATTACTTGCAGCGTTTTATCTAAATAGCTATTGGAATAAGAAGCACTTTAATGATTTTTCTCATCCTTGGAAAGTTTCAATACAACAGGATGGCGATAAAGCATTTAAAATACTCTTTTTATGTGTTTAATATTAGGAAAATGTTAGTTAATCTCTACTGGTGTTTGAATCCATGTTTAGATTAAAATAAGTGTCAATTTGGGCCACTCTAAACATTCTTAGTATTTTCATGGAGGTGCAAATCTGTTGTAAAATTGATCAACAGAAAATCACAATCTTTTTTTGTAGTTTTCACACATAAACAACAACATTCATATCTTGAATTCTTTTCCTTTTTCCCTTTCATCTCAGTATTTATTTCTTGTTTCTTTTTTTTTTTATATTCAAGCATTTTCCATGGTTGCTATCTATGTTGTATTTTTGCTCAAAATTGAGTGTTTCCCCTCAGAGGAACATTTCAGATAGTTATTTACTAAAAGTATGTTAAGAATTTATTTATTTTTTTTCTTTTGAAAAGGTGTAGGCGTCCCCTACTCACACTATAGCCACTGATGAATGCATCAAATAAATCCTTAATTCTGTTCAAGACAAAGTTCAGGAACAATAATTTGCTAATAAGAGCTTTGTTTATAGTTTGATTGCAGTATTGCAGGGACAAGCAAAAATCTGATTGTATTATAAGGCATTGCATTAAAGTTCTTCATTATCTACAGTTATTGCAGCTTTATACAGCCCAACATATAAAAAACTTTTTCAGTGATAGTTGTTGGGAAATCTGTAGTTACCAATAGTCCTTGCATGTTTATTTAGTAATGAAGGCAAATATTTGGTTGGAGCTTGAAACGTGTTTATTTACGTGCTCCAGCTATGGCATCCTTCCTTCAGCTGCAGATCTTATGGAGGCTGGATCATGCCAGAACCCCTCAGCCTCTTCTCTTCCACCGGGACCTGGCATTGCTGTCTGTCATGTGCTATCAGTGAGACTGCAGGCAGTACTTGGTGCTTCCCAGCTGCTCTCCCCTTTCTGTCTTTTCTTCCCATTCTATTCTACACTGCCGTGTGTCTTCCCTCCTCTTCCATCCCAGCTCACAGCAAGATATGGGCTTTGTGCTATTCATCCCTTCATCTGTCTAGGTTTCCCTCTTCTAAACTTGTCCTTATCTGAAAGTTTCCTGAGATTGTATTTTCCTGCTGAACTTTGTGCTTTCAAACTGTTTAATTTGTTTCTTGCCTTCTTTTCTTTCCACAGATGTAAGGAGGGCTACCATGGACTACGCTGCGACCAGTTTGTACCCAAGTCTGACGCCATCTTGTCTGATCCAAGTATGTTCTCACTTATGCTTCTTTTTATTGACTGTACAAAAGTCTTTTTTTAATGTTTCAGATCATGAAGCAAATTTAATATAGGACAAAGATAACCTGGCCTCATCCAAAGAGGTGTTATCAAATTATTATTTAATTTCTAAAGATGAATAAACCCATTCAAACCAATTTTTTGGATTAAAAAAAGTTATTGGTTAACATCTGTGTATGTAATTATTAACAGAGACATGTACCATGAAACCTGCATTTGGGAGACATATTGGTTAAGTGTTTGAAGGTACAATATTCTGATACATTGGTTTTAGTTTGCGTTGCTACAGTTAGTCTGATCACTCAACAAATTCTACCTTTTTTGGCCAGATCGGAAAGTATGGATGCTTTAGGTTAGTTTATTCTCTTATACCCAGATTCTAACTTTGGGGTGGAGGAACATTTGCCTCCAGCACTTGTTCCTAGTTAACTTTCGTTTCTTTAGTTTTTACTGGGGGTTCTTGAAACATTCCTTTCTACTTTTCTCTTTTGATAAGTTTGCCATAAGATCTTACATTTCTTTGGCAGTAGGATCCTATTAAATCTGTTTTCTGTTAGTTTGAATTTTTAAACGATTAAAAGCTAAATTTATTGTGAGCATAACAAAGGACTTGCAGAGGTTGTAATGTCCCACAATTTGATGAATGAGAATTTTATTATCTCACAGGAGTCTTCGTATCCTTGTGAAGGCTCTGCAGTTTGGTTAAGTTACACAGCAGAAGTTTGATGTAAAAAGAGTATAAATCTTAGGCCCCAAGCCTCTCCATCAGGCTGTGGACTTCACCAACTCACAGCGTCACTTGGATCCTTTAGTTGAAGCATCAGAGAGAAAGCTCTGCTGCACTGTGCCCTTTGAGAGTCCATAAATGGGGTCACAAGCTATTGCCACGTAGCATGTTTTATACCCTCATGTGACACACAATTTTCAACCAGGGACTCATTTTATCTTCTGTAGGACGACATCAGTTTTCCTGTATAACTGGCTTTGGGAGCTTTTATGTTCTTTTAAGAAAAACTTAAACTTAGTGGCTTTTAGACAAATGCAGACACATAGGGAGCTTATATATATATATATATATGTAGTTTGTTTGGACACAGAAATATATTTATGTTGGTCAACATAATTAGATCAGTCTCCAACAACAGGGGTTAATGGTTTTACATATATTTGGGGTTATTTTATAACATAAATAGGTTTGTAAGTCACTGTTAATTTAATCCATACAGTATGTGGGAAATGCAATATTATCTAACCAACATCACCCACACAACAGCAGTAAGCAGGAGCTACAAAGCTGTGTTTGAACCGTAGCTGCACATACTCTATTAGAGATGTGTTGCAGCTGGATTAGTTTGATTCAGTAATTAACTACCTTTTCATCCTGTGGCCCTGTAAAACAATGGGAGCAGCTATTAGGAGGCCATCATCCACATTTAGGAGGTGTGGTCACCATGCAATTCGTCTCTTTTTTCCCCACTGAGCTCCTACATTATTATTTAGCAACATATTATCCACTGACATGCACAATCAATTCTGAACACATTTTGTTGTGTGAGTGTGTATGGATAAACTGTTATGATTTATCATTTAAAATTTTGCAGAGAGTAACAATTATTTTTTTTTTCTAGATTTAAATGCTGATTAAAAACAAAAGGACACCCAAAACATAAGACCTATATAAGGAGAATAATGACTCGTTTGAAGTTTTTTGAAACAAATGTTACAACCCCCTGTTGGTCTAGGGAAGTGGGGGGGCATAAACATATAGGCAGAAACTGGTAAGTTCTTATAAAATTATGATTTATTTGATAACAAGAGGAGCAAGCAATAAACAAAGAAAAGAAGGGTCAGTGAGGGTGCTATGAAAATAAAGTTAGATAAAAGAGATCCTCAAAAGGAGGATTGTCCCTAACTACAGATTTAAACAAAAGGGGATTCTTACTAGAACACGCAGAGAGCACAGCACCCACTAAACCTAATGTAACTAACAAAAAAATACTCAGTGATGCAATCAGTGAAGATTCTGGTCCTACCTCCACCTTCTTTCTAGCCTCAAGCTAGTAAAGATGCACATACGCAAAACACAATAAAATACCTGACACAAGCTACTAAGCACAAACCCCAAATGGGTAACCAAAAACTTAAGTGAGCTACTTCACTAAACACACAAGGGGCTGCTAACCAACAATGTTTGGTTCACACGAAGCACACAAGTCAACTGACTGTGACAAGCTGCCTCAATCAACAAGTGAGGTCTCCTTATGAGAAGGAGGTGATTGTAGGTGGTGATGAGCCATTGGTTAAAGGTGGAACTGAGGGAACCAATGGATGGGACTGAAGTCAGATCCCCCGAAACCAGGAAGTAGGCGGGTCTTTCCACAGGGCCATGCAGCCTACTTAGTAGAGGTGAGAAAAAAAAAGGGAAACACAAATATGACGGTGACAGCTGTAACACAAACAAAGGCTTGTTGCGAAAAGTTTTTTTAATAACAGAATTTTGCAGTTTTCTTTACTTAGACATAAATGGTTACTGTTGTCTAAAGCAAGGTTTGTTTGTGAAAAAGTTGTCTTTTTACTATGGTTTTCAGTCTTCATAAATTAAAATGAGGAATGTAGATCACAGTTATGACTAATCGCCCTCATTTAATTATTTTACTACCTCATACAGTAATTTCTTAAACAATTTTTATCTACTTTATTCTCATAGACATTAATGAGAAATATGAGAAGATAGATTAATTGACACACATAAATTTCATTTAGAAATTTTATTTAAGATCATACATCATATTGACAAAAGTATTTACTCCATCTCAACACGTCAGCTGATTCCTTTATAGCTTGAGTATTACAACTTTTAACTAACCTCGGAAGGCTTTTCCAAAGGTTTGTTGGAAAAGGTGTGTTTTATAGCAGGCATCCCTAACCTCTGTCCTCAAGGCCCGCTGTCCTGCAGATTTTAGAGGTTTCCTTGATCCAGCACAACTGATTTTAATTGAAAGCTGATTAAAAGGCTTTGGTCTACTGCAAGCATTATAATCAGCTGTGATCAGCCTCTAAAACCTGCAGGACAGCGGGCCTCGAGGACCGAGGTTGGGCATGCCTGTTTCATAGGAATTGATGACAATCCATCAAGAAGTGCATCTGTGAGTTTTGAAAGTTATGTTGGATATGAGGGCATGGTTCAGAGGCTTAACTTTAATGAATCATTTAGGTACTCTATCAGGTTGCGGTCAGCACACATTGGAGGTCAGCCAACTTCTTCTGAACTGAACTGATGCAGAGTTAGGTTGGATCAGCAAGGAGTCAAACCAAAACTATTTTCTTAAAATTGGTAGACCTACATTTTTTTTAACTTTTCTAGAATTCTGAAGCTGTGAAATAATTTTACTAGAATTAAGGGCCAGACCCTAACTCTTCAGAAACAGCACCAATCAGTTATAGCCTCCAACAACATTTTGAGAGAGAGCTATGATTCATCACTCTAGGGAAGTCACCTCCACTGCTTTAGAGTCTATAAGCAGGATGCTATGCACCTCTAAATCCAACGTTTGCTTTACTACAGCAGCTCAGGCAATGAAACCCACCCCTGGACCTTTCTGTCCACTGTACTTAAACTAATCTAAAGGTCAAATGAACTTTTGAGGTAGCTATCAACTCTGCAGCATCTTTATCTGCTTATCCCACTCTGGGATTTTATGGCCTTGCAGTTTGTGGCTGTGTTGCTGTTGTTTCAAATCGCATCCACTTATATCATGATATTGAAGTACACATTGATATAAAAGGACAGTTCTTGAACTAAACTTACTGCACAGGTAGCATTCTGGTACTTATTTAGCTCCTTAAAGTAATATCTTCTTCCAAAGATATTTGTAGAAACAGAATCATGCCTATTTGCTGGGGTTTACAGACCTCTGAAAGCAGGGATGTCAGACAGTGGTATATAATTGTCAGCTATAACCTATTTACCGTACTTGTTATTTCACAAGGCTAAAACCTTTCAGAATGTCAGGTTTTCATTTCATTCAGACAAAGCTCTTTGCTGCAATATACAGTTTTGTCAAAGTAAAATAATGTCTATATTATTTGTTCAATGCTACTCTATACAAAACAAATTAGAAACAAATGCTTGTTTTGAATAAGATGGATGCATTGATGGATGGACAAACAGATGCTTGCAAGCTTTGACAAAACTCCAGGAGATAAATAGAAAAGGTTTTAGACAGCGACAAGTCCTGTTTGGATCCATTTTGATGGAGACTAATCTAAAATTTACATGGATTAACAAGGGTTTGGAGAATAATCCGGCTTTCCAAAACAAAATCATACAATAATGTACACATAGATGCACACTCTAACAATAAATACAAACTGGAAGGGTTCCAGTGAAATTCAGTTTAAAGGGGTTGATTTCTCTGCTTTTACGTAGGGCAAGGTTTTGTTCATTTTATTCAGTGAAATGGCTGCTTTAGACACAAATCATACTGTTGGGTGGGAAAATAGTTTTATCTTCTTACATCCGTTTTAGCTTTTAGCTTTTTGTTTTCTAAATCAATATGTGCATCTTACAGACACAAATCTCCCCCTGCCCCTTATCCTTTGTCTTAGTATTGACTAGAAAAATACTCAAAAGAGCAGTCTGGCGGGGGCTTTGCACGTATCGCCACTCAGGCATTCTCACATCTTTACAGAAGGATGAAAAACATTTACTGTCATGCTCATCACAGAAGTATAGGGACAAAAGGAGAAAGAGACCTCATGCCTGGATCTCCAGCTATAGAGCTTTGAACTCAGCTAAAGTAATGTTGAAGTAAAGTGCCATGGTCAAACTTGTTGGTGCAGAAGGAGGAAGTGATGGATTCTTTAATTGGAGCCATTGCAGGGTACGAAGACAGCAATTTATTTTGTGCTTGGTAAAAAACTTGAACACATTTCTTTTCTAACTGTGAGACAATTTAGGATTTGCCACTTGAGAGGTGACGCCTTGGAGACTGTAGGAAGAAATTCAGGGAGTTTTAAGTTTTAGACAGTATACTTAAAAACATGAAAACAGTAATTTGAAACATTTCTCCCATTTTGATGTTAAACCTGAAGTACAAATCCCTAAAGGCTATTGTGTTTAGAATCACAAACACACAAGAACACACATTAGCTTATATTCATTCTTCACTCACAAGACCTCCAGCTTACCACTACCGAATCTGGCAAAAAGTGCCTGACATGATACACATGCAATGTTGTGCATGAACTGGATACATTAATATTTTTTGTGACCGTTGAACTGAACGGATAAGCTTTGAAGTAATGAACATGAAAGAGGGCAACATTCACTCTGAGAATAATGAGCGATACACATAGATCACGTTTGCGTTCAATTGATAAGCATACTTTTCATTGGATAGCATCAGGTTTTATGGCACTCACTACTGCAAACATCACGACATTCATGTTGCAGACAGTAGATGATATGTCTGCAGTTTTGGGGAGCACATGGTAGAGTTTTATGACCTAACAAAGGAACAGCAAAAAACTCACCTTTATGTGCAAACTCTGCCCACTGGGACTTAACAAAAAAGTCCGTACATCAGCCTCATCTGCTTATAATTTAAAGCAACATATCGAGTGAAAGCATCCAAGCTATCTTGGGAAATATCTGCTACTGCATGAAGAACGTAAGAAATAATTTTTGATACAGATCTTTTTAGCAGAACCTGAATGTTCCTGTATGTTTCTGAAGTTCTGTGTAATTTGGTTAAATAAAGGCTTCACTGCACATACAGTATATCTTGACTGCATTTAGTATTTTCCATTTCCTGTTCTGGATGCTTTTTCTTGATTTACTTAAATTGCCTGTTTTCTTTTGCTGTTGTTATGTAGGATCTGCAGCCTATAAGGACCAAAGCCTCTTACCACAAAAACAGATTTTTCCCATCTTAAGCTAGCCTCATTAACAAGGCCCAAGTCCTTCACTGACACTTTCCCCCGGCAAATAATACAAAGATATCCTTATGTGTGAATACTACTTCATTTTGCTTCATATTGTTGTTATTGTACATTCTTAATATCTAGCATGTTTTTCTTTCCCTGTGGGAATTTGGACTTTCTCTATTCTCTTGATGTTTCTATATAACTTCCATTTGTTTTCTCCATGTTATATATTTACACATTTATTCCTGTCAATGGTATGTTTGTCTGTGTGTAGTAACTCATCACAGAGCAAAAGCTTTGCATGTTTAAAACAGTACTTGACAATAATATCTTTTTTTTTTCCAAATCTGATTCTCTAAAAACATGCAGTCATGTCTTGGGTATGCAGTAATATCTTGATTTTCTTCTTAAAGAAAAAATCTTTACTTTTAAGGTTTTATTTCCCATAGTTATTTTAGTATAATTAGGACCTACAGTAAGCTGACATTTTGATGAATGCAGCTGAAATAATTAGACAACTCTTAAAGTTAATAAGGAAAATTGTTAATAGCTTCATTAAGACTGATCTTTCTTTTTTCTATTTATCTACTCCTATAGATTTCCTTCTTTACTAATCAGTTCATTTAAGACAATTCTTACTGTTTTAATGTGCCTCTTGAGGTTCAGGTGTGAGTCCATCACTACATCCAGATTGTTATCTGAAATTTTTTTTTTCCAGTTGTATTAACTGAAGCTGTGTGCCTAATGTTATACAATCTTAATTTGGTCCAAGAAAAATGTCTTCAGTTTTGTTTTGATTCATGAAATCTGGATCATGACTGAAAGAAAGAGATCCTGGATACAAGAGGCTGAAATGAGTTTTCTTTGCAACATGTTTCGGCACTCCCTTAGACATAGGGGAAAAGCTCAGTCATCCATGATAGGCTCAGAGTAGATCCACTTTTCCTCCAAATCAGAAGGATTCAGAAGAGGTTGCTTGGACATCTTTTCCGAATGTCCTCTGGAAGCCTACCTTGGGAGGTTTTCTAGGCATATCACACCATAAGCGGGCACATGGGACTACCAAGCATTAATTGGTCTCTCAGCTGACCTTGGAGCGCCTCAGGATTCCCTCAGTAAAGATGGAAGAGGTGTCTGGAGAGAGGGAAATCTGGGAGTCTCTGCTAAGACTACTACTCCTGCAACCAGGATAAGTGGAAGCTGACAAGCACCAGTAGGAGTACTCTTATTTAGTAGTTTGGTGGATTAGCCCAACTACCTATGCTAAAGCTCTTGTTCTCAATATAGCCTTTTATTTTTTAAATAAAAATCCAAATGTCTTTTGGATCTGTAATTTTTTTAACATATAAGGTGTGTAGTTTCAACTCATCAAAAAGAAATATATGATATAAAAGATTTTCCACAGTAACTAAGTGATGGTTTCTGGAAGGACATCTATGCCTTGGGTCAATTAATTCTGATAACTATGTTTTTGTCACTCTGATAACCATGTCTCAGATATGAGTATCCAATTTTAAAAGAGATATTTAAAAATCCCACTACAATACTATGTCACATCCATTTTTGTCTTATGCATAGATTTCACCGCTCTGACAGATTTTTCTGTTTGATTTGCTGCCTCTTTTTACATACCCAACACATAATCTGCCAGGGCTTGGCAAGCCTCGCTCTACTTAAAACTCTGACCACCTCTGTCGGAAAAACCAATTACTAGTGAGGGCTTCATTTTAATTTAAATAAGATTACATTACAGTGACATGAAAAGGGGGAACTGTCAGGATGGGAAGAACATGAGGGCTCACTTTTATCTGTTTCCCCAGCACTGGGATTGTGGGACAGGACTTAGCTGCATAAAGAAAGACTGTGTGTGTCTGAGAGAGCGAGACAGAGGGAATAGGGATAAAGGGTGTTTGTGGAACTGTATCTGTTGCAGAAAAAGAATAGTAGGCAATACTATTACATGCCGTGCTGATTCACATGTATGTAATCGTAATTTGGTTTGATCCATCTAGAAGCAGTCAACTTGTGAAGAGAAAAAACAATTACTGCAATACCTCAGGCTCAAATCAATATAAAGGCCTGTGGAAAGAGACATCACTGGCATAAAGCCATATTATATGTCAGTTTTAACTTTTATTTTCCCAATCCCTTGCCTAATCTTCTTTTCCCCTTATCTCTCTTGGTTTCTGTCTTCATTTGAGGCTACTGCAAGCCGGTCATTTGAAAGCATCATGTTAAAGTGTTCCAGGCATCTTGGGGCTTTAATGCTTTTTCCAAAGTGCAAAATATAAGCCATTTGGGAGAAAGTAGTCAAAACATCATATAGTGGGCTTACAACACATGCATATGCCTATAAGACAAATTCTGGGTTGCAAGGTATATACTAAAAAAAAAAAAAAAAAAAAAATTCTTAAGTAAAAAGTAACATTTTATTCTTTGTCCCTTCATTTTGACACATTAAAGTTTTCCACTGTGTGTAGGGTGTGACAGTTGATTTTGTGGTGTATTATGAGAGTAAATTGGGGCAGTTAAAAAAAGATTTGGGCAGGCTCTGGTTTTGCAGAAGATACAAATGTAAATTTTTATTCTGTTAATATTTAGGTTTTGGTATTATTGACTGTTGTAATGTCTGCTTTTGATCTGTTAAATGAAATGCAGTATCAAAATGGTTGCAAAACATAATAACACTTTGGCTGCAAAACTAAAATTTAACAAACGTTCAGGTTAAAGTGGACTTTGCTGGACTTCCTTATTGTATTGTCTTCAAGCTGCTCTCCAAGGCAGAAAGATTATAGAAATGCAGTAATGACAAGAAACCTAAGATGTCAATGGATTTAAATGGCCATTTATACCCTGTCTACCAACCTTAGTGGAGGTGCATCAGACCATGGCCAACAGGTTATAGCTAAACACACAACTGCTCTGAAGGTTCTTGAAATAATGTGCAGGGAGGGAAAAGTTTAAATAAATGCAGTTATTTTCACTTGTAGTAATGATATTTTCTTATCTTTCATTTCTCACTCTCTCTCCACATTTTTATGCATCCTGTTAACGATCTGACCTCTGGTGGAGCAGCGGACGAACTTGGGATCGAGTTCATGGGTGAGCCATTTTTTCTCTTTCTACTGACTTCTGCAGCCCACTCAGCCTTTCATTGGCTTCATATCTGCAAAATACCTCATACAAAACACAAAGTTTGGCACAACAAGGCTGCTCACCTTGGATAAATTAATATGGGCCAGTTGCCATGGCAACACTGTGGCGGCAAATTAGGTGTATTCTGTCTACATGAAGAAGAGAGTTGTTAGGGCAAGAATGATTTAATGAGTGTAGAGCTAAGACAAACGGCCACGTTCCATGTTTACTCATCTTCCGTATGTTTGAAGTTTAATTTAATCTGCAATTTGAAAAGATAACAGTGGACTTACTATCAGCGTATATAATGCAAAATGCTTTTTACTAAAAATTGACAAAAAATATCTAATGCAGAAAAATTTAATCAAAGAAGATGCATATAAAGATGTATATTAAGATGTATATAAACTATAAACAGTTATATTAATACTATTATAGTTAGACCATCAAAATCATGTCATAAGAATCTCTTTCCTTTAAAGGAAAATTCCGGTTTTTAACACTTTTAGCCCATTTTCTGTAGTGTCCAGGATGAAATCGAATGATCGACACCAAAATTTTGACAATTGGTCCTGTCTCTGCTATTTGGCTCATGCAGAATCCCCCCCTGGCTGCTTCAGAATGGCTTCCATAGTGCATGTCCGATAATGTCCTGAAAACAACCTTAAACGTTCTGTTTTTATAATATGCTACTCACCGGGTCGTCAGCGCTGTTCAATGACGTTCCAAAAAAAGTTTCGTAAAGAAAAAACGTTCCTGTAGTGTTTTATTTAGCATTTTGGAACGTCATTGAACAGCGCTGACGACCCGGTGAGTGGCATATTTTAAAAAAAGAACGTTTAAGGTTGTTTTCAGGACATTATCGGACATGCACTATGGAAGCCATTCTGAAGCAGCCAGGGGGGGATTCTGCATGAGCCAAATAGCAGAGACAGGACCAATCGTCAAAATTTTGGTGTCGATCATTCGATTTCATCCTGGACACTACAGAAAATGGGCTAAAAGTGTTAAAAACCGGAATTTTCCTTTAATAGTGACACATTAGGATTTTTTTAAATTTTCCTGTCAGTACACCTTTTTTCTTTCATCTTGATATAAAAAAACCTAAGCTATAAAGATTTACATTGGTATTGCCAATGTAAATCTACAGCAAGCTGTCATGTCAATGCTTGCTCCAGAAAATTGATAGAATCAGAAGGTGCTCAAGAAGAAAAGCCAGTTCTCTGCACAACATTCTTCAGCTCAGTGATTTTAAATACAAAGACTAAAGAAGTTCTAAATGCTGCTGCAGGTTGTTAGATTTGTTATAGGAAATACAATAGAGACAGATCAATGCTTGAGCTCCGGGAAAGCATGGCTTTACCAGGAAATCTTTGGAAACTTGTGATGGAAGTTTTATGTGTTAAGGCAACACATAAAGTCATGATAAAGTAGAGCCATATGGAGCACTCTAAATATGATTTTCATGTTTTTTTCCCCTTTTTTTAGTCTAGTGTTCTCTTTGATAAAACGTGGTCTGGAATCCACACTATAACTCTAAAATCATAAAACTGTACGTAACACCTAAAATATGGAGTACACCAAAAAATATTTATGAAACTGTTAACAAGCACAAATCCAAGCAATGTTTCCCTGTAAATCAGAACTATAACTTATCTCCTGTTCGGGTCTCTTCATGCCCACATTCAACCATTCATCATCAACCATATCATTGTGTATATTGTAAATTAACTACCGGTACTTAAATAGTTTTATTTAATGGTTATAATGTTATATATGTTATACAGTTATGTATAAGTTAAAATTACATGTCTGAGAAGGAGATTGATGCAATCTAGCTTCAATTCCCCCAAGTCACCATCTGTGTCACGAATTTCCCATCTCTAGAATTTGTGTACCCAAACAGATGGGACAGAGTTAAAATGAGGGATTGCACACTTTCACGACAGTTTTTTTTTTCTAGATTACAACCGTCGGTGTACCCAAGTTTCCAGGGCCCAATTAGTGCAAAAGCAAGTTTTATATATGACACTCAAGCTCTTCACTTTTGCATGTGTCACTAGTTTACTCTGTTGTTTTTCAGGCAGAATATCCCATTTTGTCATGGATACTTTAACACAGTCTTCATTATGTAGTTTCATCAAAGCCAAATGTAGTGTGGTTGTATCATATTACGGGCCATAAGGGACTGTCTTATCCTTGTGTCAGTATAACATCGTTTAGCCTGTATTGCTAGAGTTGTTCACTTTCCTCCGTTTTCTAACATACTCTTGCATCTCATTTCAAGAGTGCCTCGTAGGCATCCAGCATGAAAGGCCTGTAATGGCTTTATGTACAGACTGCATAGTGGGTTTTTCCTTACAGCCATTTAGCAGGCCTCTGCAGACAGCTGTTTTTTATGTTCCGATTTGAGAAAAGCCTATTTCATCCATCAAAAAAATGAAGCAGAGGTTGGTCTCAGGTGCTGCTCAACATGAGCAATGATGATTCAGCAGCAGGAAAAGACATTCCCTGTGTCTCACATGTGCAGCCGTTGAGAGGTCATTCTCCTGATGGCAAAGGCCCAAAGGGTTTACAGGCTGGCAGATATGCAAATTGGATATTTAAGCCCTGGCATCTCCCACTGTTTGTTTTTTCAAATAAGACATTTAAAGCCATGCAAGTCAAGCATGTGATGATATTTCAAGCGATAAAGGGTGTCATAGCAACTCTGTTGTGATGGGGTAAAAAAAAAAAAAAATAACCATGATTGTGGCCTTCTGTATTCATAACGCAAAGCAAATTATTCATGTGCACATTTCAGCGACATTTCAAATTGCTTTAAAAGGTCTAAACAGAAAATAAAAAATGTAAATTTAAATTGTAGTGAAATAATGAAGTTATGGGAATCTAAACTACAAACTGATATGTATGTTAGAGGGTATAAACAAACGGAAGCAACTATAACCAAACTGATTTTATTTTACCTCAATTTAAAAGAGTAATAGATATTTCCCGCAAAGCATAATGTTTGTAAGTACATTAAAAACATAGGAAAGTAGATATCAGTCATATAGCATTAAGCATTTGACTATACTAAGTCCCCTTACTAAATGTATGGTAATACAAACGGTGTCATGTGAATCATCAAAAACCCGATGGAAACTGTTATACAGGTATTCAATCTCCATTATCCCTTTTAATACAAACATTCTGTACTTACTTTACTTATTTCGCACATTAAAGAATGTCCAAAATCTTTTCCACAACTTCTCGAGAAGTGTGAATGCATTGCATTTCCTTTAATGAAAGTAAAAGGCTGATCTGAGAATATTCTGCAGCTGGTTAGGAACCTACTTCCCCATTCTTTTAAATAGAATTTAATGCTCCAAGATCTTAATTCTTGACCTTAAATGATAGATTTCATGCAAACTTACCTCCAAAATCTGTCTAACAGCTCTATGCTGGTAAAGATTCTTAGTCACCCAAGTCATAGCATTCCAAAAAAAGTTAATGGGAAGGAATCAAACCACCTGTCTTCTTTGTCCAGAATGTGAACATTCTGGTCATCAAACAAATGTCCTTAGTCAAACACAAATGGACTCCCCCTCCGGACAAGACTCGGCTGTCCATCTACACCTTAAGGACAGAGGATTTTTTTAAATTTGTAATTTCCTTACAAGTATGGCATCTTGTAGAAGAAAATAGGTTTTGCATGGGTAGGAAATGTATTGTCAGGAAGTGCTGTTAAAAGACAGAAATAATCAAGCAAATGCATGTCTCTTTTATTTTTGTGCTATTTACCCTTTGTATACTTCTAAAGATGTCCACAAGTGCGTAACACAACTCTTTGGGGATAATAATAAAAAGCTATGTCTGTGTATAAGAAAAAAGGCAAGAAATAAAGATAATTATTTGCAGCCCAGTGAGAGCAGCTGCTGTCCAGTTAAACGTAACAATCTGAGATGAATACTGAGACAATTTACCGGTAATAAGCAACCACTGGGTTGTTGAGAAAGCAACTCCATAGTAAAGGTCATTCCAAGCTCAGTTTTCCACCAATTAAGTATTTATGGTAGAGTGGCCAGACAGGGCCCATAACTCACCTAAAGGTACATGACAATCACCTGGGATTTTAATGAAAGGAATGTAAATTAGTTTTAGCCCTGAAACTAACCTGATGAAATACAACTTGTACTGTATGGCCAGAATTCTCAGTGGTGTGTCAGGAAGAATGCAGACTTTCAGCACTAGCTCATTAATACCAACCCAAAAGGCAAACAGAATGATAGCAACATCCTGCAGTGAAACAGATTTTATGGTCTCAGAAAACAGGGAGAGCATGAACAGGAAAAGATAGATGTGAGAGATATAAAGAAATCAGACCAGAAATCCTTCACAAAGTGCTTGGTTCATGTACTGGAAGAGTTGCTTCAGTATACAGGTATGTGCTTTCAATAAGTCTGTAAAAATCAAGCCACACGATTTCAGCAAGGCTTACAGAATGCTCCTAACTAAAGATCTGAAAGAAATAGATGTTTTAATTTATGCACTTTCTGTGATTTCTTTTAGTAAAACTCTTCAGTGTAAATTTTATTATTTTGTTACTGAACTAGATGTATCCAAATTACTTCACATCCTAAAAAAATAAAGACAAAATACCATCTGGTAGCCACCAACAGACAACATTTTGCATTTCTAGTTCCCAAAAGTCAAGTGTACAACATCCTAACTTTGAAACTATGAATCAAATACCAGCACTGTGTTTATGATATAGCTTTGAGTAAATAAAAATCTAACTTGCCATCGATATTTTGGAGATATCAAAGAATTTGATCAAAAAGTTCCTTTGCAAGTCATAGATACCCTATACAGATATACAATATTTCTAAAAATAAAAAAGTGTTACACAAATGTTGTGTTGATGGTCCCAATATTGATGTTTCTTAATCTCATGGTACAGTTTGTAGTTGCTCAATCTGTACTAATGAAGATTTGCTTCCCTCAGTTGACTTTGTCAGTTTACTCTGTCCTTGACAGTAACAGACTGCACTAAAAAAGTAATAATATGCATAACGACAAAACACATACCGTAATTCATAGACATGATAGAAATCAATATTCATTTCTCCATGTTTGTACTGATAATTTACTTATAGATGTGATATTGGATGTTGCAAAAAAAAAAAAAAAATGGATATAACGGGTTCACTGACACAGCTCCAATCTGGTACAAAGGAACATTGTTTTATGGAGGAGGAAAGATCAAGGCTTGATGCAGTGTTTCCCAGCAAGCGCCTGGATGTGCTTCTCTGATTTATACTCAGCGTTGTGTTGCAAAAGTTTAGAATTTCAAACTCCAGAGCACCTTTGGTTCGATGGACATCTGACATTACAGGATATCAAGTCAATGTTGTATTTGCCTATGAATATGTTGTATTTCCCCATTTTGCGATCTGAGAGGTAATGAGCCAATCAATCACTCTAAAGAAACCCCAAACAACAGGATTATCTCACTTTATAATGGTTCAGAAATTCTCCCAATATTAGGGGCTTTCGAAAGAGGAAAGACTAGACAAAAATTAGCATGGTAATGAATGAGCCTTTATCTGCAGTTGCTAGTTTGTCAAAATCACACACAAGGTTTTATATTGTCTATTATCATTTCCACTAAAAGCACTTAAGTGCTGATGATTATACATTACGGACAAATCCGATAATTCCACTTTTTCTTTGGTGATGCTGGTAGTTTTATGAAACATCACCTTTAAATTTATGCATGGTTGTAATTTTCTATCTTTAGACAGTACAGTGATAAGTCATTTTAATAAAACCAGTGCATGCACAAGTTTCAGCCTTGTATTATGTGCTGTGGTAAGCAGTTTGACTATACAGTCTGAGGGACATTGGCTGGGATCAACTGCCACTTGTCCCAGCTGTATCTGACCTTAGGACACTGCTACTGATGTGTAGAGGTCTGACAGGGGGCTCTGAGAGCATTCATTTGCTACTACTTCCCTGTCGCCATCAGTCTTTGAAAGCTTGAAGACAAACACAGGCGATGTACACACATGCATTTACCATCACTGAGGATTTCACTCATGCAGGCAATTCATTTCTGAACAAAATGATTATTACACCTCAGTTATTACGTCACTGAGCTCGGTCTTGGTCTGTCATATCTTCATCACAGGTTTGAACTTTGAATTTAACTGACAGCAACATTAGTCGGTTTATGCTTGTTCAGAAAGTTGGTGAATATCTGTGTTCGGTGTAATAATTTAGAATGCATTAAATTTTTGTTATGGTCTACTTTGGATCACAGCGGATGCTCATTGTCCTAAATGTCATTCTCTATTCTCTGCAGAGAGTGGTGACACCTACCAGAGGCAGGTGCTGTCCATCTTCAGCATTGCCTCGGGGATCTGTCTTCTTGGAGTGGCATGCATGGCCCTCTACCGTCGCAACAAGTGAGTGATTCAAGCCAGAACCACATTAACAGAGTAAGCCTCGAGCCGTGCGGAAAGAGGCACTTTATTCTCATCGCACAGAGCCTGAAGTCTGAGTCAGCAGGGGATTTTTTTTTTCTTTTTAAGTTAAGCATCACAAATTGTGTGGGATCCATTTGGGACAGATACTCATGTAAGATTTATACGTAAAGTGGTTTTAGCAAGCAGGTGTCTCAGAAATACTTTGCCTGAAACCAAATTCAGGTATACTGTAGAAGACATGCAGTAGCTATAAACACAGAAACATGACGAGAGTGTGATTTTGTAGTGCATTTGTATTCATATCCCTTGATTTTTTATTTTATCATGTTATGTCTTTAGGTTCGAATGTCTTTTTTTCAAATCTAATGAGGCAAACCAAAACTATGGATAAATTGTTTTTAACATTTTTTAACAAATACAACCTGAATTATTAGCATAAATAAGTAATAACACAAAGTTATAATATAATGGTGTAGGAAGTTGAATTTTTTACGTTTTAGAATAACCTGCTTAAGATTTAATCTTAAATCTAATCTCAACTATTTTGCAAAAACACTCTCATTAAAACCCCAGCTTTTAGATATGCTAGTAGAACCATATCTAAAACAATCAAAGCTGCTATTGCATGAAATAAGATCTGTGTTCTAGATTATTTAGAAAAATAGATTTCTAGATTATTTGGAAAAAAATGCTTCAACTCACAATGACACACTGTTTTGTTTTGTTTAATCATATCAAATCCAAGCATAAAAGTTAGTGCTTATAACAACATGTATAAGCATGTTTAAGTAATGGGAAGATGTTTTTTTATATGCTGTATGCAGGATTAGTATTGGAGGCTACCCTCAAGCATACACACACCTCAACAAACCTTAATTACTATTTGCAGCCAATAGAGAAGCAAATTAATTACATAAATAAGATAAACCTCAGAGAAAAAAGAAAAGTCCTAACAGAGGCTTTGTTGATTGAATTGGTCTTGATAAACTGAAGTGCTTTCCTCTCTTTTCTGTTTTTTCCTTCAGCACAGCAGTGCTCTAAGTAACAAGGTGCCCTATCGGTCAGTGTGACTAACCACTCACCAGGAGGTTCAGTGCACTGCAAATTATCCAAACTCACATATGTTGCTAAAGTAGTTCCCTTAGACTCAGATTTAGCTATAGTGTAGATCTAGAACAAATGGATTTTATTGTTAGTGCTGAAGTTCCTTCTGATCCTCAGTAGGTGCAAAATCTAATTTGTTACACCATGTCACAAAAGAGATCAACCATGAGAAACCTATTTATCTTGATATAATGTGGGAGCTATCGGTACTACAGCAACTAAAATATTTACCATATGCAGTTCTGGTTAGTGGTTCTAATACAGTTATCAGCATTAATATAATGTCTGATCTCTACCCTATCAGAAAACTTAGACTTATGCTTAGAGAGATGCTGGGAGGCAGCTAGAAAATTGAATTTAAGTAATCTAAAACTAATTATGTTGTTTGTTTGGGAACATTGTCATGTTTTACTCCTACTGTAACCATCTGAATTAAACCAGACCGACCAGACAACAGAGGCTCAAACTAATTATCATCTGGAACCTGGAGCACCAATGTAGATGTATTGAATGTAGTAACATAACACTCGACCTAAAGGATAGCAACCAATGCAAAATTAGCTGCTTAATAGGTAAGAGCTTTAACCTCTTAATATCCACCTCATTTTGGGAAATTCTTGTCTATTTTGCACATCCAAATGGAAAAGCAAAGAACTTAGAAACTGTAAGCCCAAATTACATGTGTGATACATTATTTGAAAGCTAAGTTTCTGAACATATTACATGAAAATTGGGTGAGTAAAACACCCAAACTGCATCAGTTCAAACAAGACTCAAAATAGTTTTTTAATTCTCGAAAATAATAGGTCTTTTTTGAACATCAATTATAAAAACATGCTTGCTTGTTGTGGCTGCTTTGTAATGGTACAGTTTGGCATGCTGCTATATCTGTGTCAATTGTGCTTTGCTGCTTGCTTTGGGATTAAAATGAACTAGGTGTCATGATTTTAACTATGATCAGACCCAAAAGCAGTAAACCAATACAGAGAGACCAGGGAAAAAGTTTAACAGGTTAATTTAGGAGATTGTGAAGAATCCAGTGTTGCTCTGAACACTGCTCAACCGGAACTGAACGGTGAGGGGAAGACACTGCGGTTAGTTCAGGCTCAGAGGGAAATTTGATTCTCGAACTTGAAAAGGAGAAATAGATTGCTGACTCATGATTCCAGAAAAGTGGTTGCCTCTATTGACTCCAGTCGGTATGGGGGTGTTCCAGTGTTTGTCACTTTCGATGGAGGGCGGACAGGGTTTACCCAGAATGCGGTTCTTTGTAAGTGAACGGAGAAACTGACTGCCTCTTAGATTTCCTGCGGTACTTGAACGGGTCGTTGTGGAGATGAATCCCTTGCTCAGTCTGAAGCTCAAACGATCTCTTGGAGGCAAGAAGATCCAAAACCTCCAGTTTGGATCCTCAGCTCAGTTTGAAGCTCAGATGATCCTTCCAGGGAGAGAAGGTCCGAAAAATCCAGTTTGCAGGATGACTTCCTGCCGAGAGGCAAAGACAAAATAACAAAGTTAAGACTCAGGTTGACAAAAACTCAGTTTGATTTAGCAAAACCCAGCTTGGCTAGAGTACCCCAAACTGGCAAACACTCTGACGTCAAGGTAGTGGCAGTCAGCAGCTTAAGAACCCTCTGTTAACGAGATAACTCTCAGCAGGTGTGTGAGGAGGCGGATCAGAACCAGGCACCTCCTGGTGGAGGAAGGGAGACAAACACAGAAACACAAAACACACAGACAGGAGTCCTGACACTAGGTGGTTGAATTGTGGAGAATCTAAGCTTTCCAGCAATGTCTTACATGTCTATATTGGTAAACATTTTACCAGTGTAATATTCATGCATTCTGAGTTATTTGTAAATGCTTTAAAACAGTGGGTTTTGAGAGGTTAAATTAAGCTACCTTCATGACTGAGCCAAATGCCCTTTGGATAAATTATTCACTTTCAAATGAGCCACTTGCCACCTAATATGCAGTAGGAAATGTTACTTTCTAGCAAAAGCAAACCCCTGTTATTTATCTACAGTATAATACTACTGAACAGTTCTGGAGAAAGTGAAACGTCTTTTTGGAAGGGTACTGAGGAGACTGAGGTTGAGAAGGCAGTTGCTGCAGCTGTAGGGTAAAGCAGAGCTGTTGGAATGCATCTTGGTGCATGTGCTGTCTCAGATAATTGACAAAAGTAATATAATTTGTAATTGTAATGATTCCAAACATATTGTGATGTGTAATTATGTCTAAAAAGAATATTAGTTTGCTTAAAAGAGGGGGATCACTGACAGATTTGCCTGGGTCAGACTAGCTGCTTCTGTCATTGTTCTTGTTTAATTTCCTTACCCACATGTAAGATCGACGACACGAGTCAGAATACACGTCTAACAGACTCTTTTAAAGGTACAATATAATTTCACATTTGAAAAGAAATTATATGAACAAACACAGCCCCGGAGCCTGTTTTTGCTATCTGTGGAGGAAGAATTCCTCTAATATGAGACAGACAGGTTGTACCAGCAACTTCCTCTTTTAGCCCTTTTCTGGTCAAGCAGTCTTGACTCTCCACGCCCCCAACCTTCTGAACGTTGCACCCCCAACGATGACAACAAGGGAGAGTTTGGAAAGATTGTGGCTACAAGCAGTGCTAAATAAAGGCTAGTGCTAAATAAATAAGATAAAGGCCTGAGCTCATTGGTGGGAAGGATCGCTTTTTAGACAGAGCATTTTAGCACACATTAGCAAAGAGATGGAGCAAGGTAGTGAGATAGGTGAAAGGGGTTGTTTTTTTTTTTTATTTGTGGACCTCTTAAACAGGCTTCAAACACATGGCTGTTACAAAATGTTTATAATGTTAATTTTGCATGATATGAGACCTTTGAAACTGAAAATTTGTATGGAAGGAAATGAGACAGCAATGGGTCTCAGAGAGATGATTGCCTTATGCAGGTTGATTAGATGAATTTCTTCTTAATTTTTTCTATTTACCCAGGGCAAGTGGGTGGAAAGTAGATACCTCATTGTAATGCTACTACTGCTATGTTTAATAGTTCTCACAGTGTTTTGGTCTGAAAGCTCTGTTCTGTACTTCTATTCTTTGTTTTACAAGAGTGTGTCCAGTGCAGACAGTGGTTTCAGGGTTTGGGATCATAAGGAAGGCTGAGTGGTAAGAGACAGTGAGCCGGCAGGTAGAGTTGAAGGGTTTAGACACATTATAAAAGTTTAGCAAGTCAGAGATTCTGGAAGCTTTAAAACATTGAGCTTTTTCAGTTAGGAAGCAGTTTTTGGACTCAAACCTTGGAAGCATAAGAAACAATAGTTCACAATTAAAAATTAAATCCATATCAGAAAATCATGTTATATTGACTTAATTTTGCACAGAGAAGGGGTGCAATATCCCGCAATGATTGCACTAGAAGACTGTTGATGCCTTCTGTATTCCTGGCAATCTATAATTATATTGAACCCTGTAAAATCAACAGTAAATTTAAATGTTTACACCAATATATATTATTTTATTGACTCCTCATTGCTAGAAATACTATCTACATTGCATGCCAACTTCTACAATAAACATTTTTGATTACACAAATGTTCATGATGATGTCAATTACAGACTGAAAGCATGTCATATTTTAGCTGTATACCAAAAATCACCAGCAGATTTATTTGTAGGTCAGTTTCATTTAACAGGAAGCCATGGATAATTCATACAGATTGATTAACTAGGCTGAGCACTTGCTGAATATGCTTTAATTTAAATGGACAACAATAAATACATATTTTATTAGTCCCCAGTTACATGCTCCATTTTCATTTGTTTTAGTTGGGGTGATCAGTTCCCTATCATAGGTATTTGCATAAATCCTTTCAGATCTGTGTCAGTAAAGTTTATTATGTGCAAATGCTTCATTCAGCTATATTAGATATGTAAAGAAAAGACAGAAATTGACTGTTATAAAAGTTTTGTAATTATTGTTATATTCAGTCAATTTTGTTTATGTAATTCCCGTTTTCTTTTAGAAATTTATTTTAATTATAAAGTCAGATTATTTCCATATATTTCAGTGTGATTATATAGTCAGATTTAGATAATATACAAAGACTACTGTGTATATAATTACAAACTACTAGTGAAAACATAAGTCTTATAAAATATAGTCATATTAGGTAGATTTTTTACAGTAATCAGTCATTAGTTTTTCTTATGTAAATGAAGAGGCTTATCTGTTTCAATAAATTGGTTGATTTTTAAGCATTTCCATATCCCTAATAAGCATGAGACAACAATGGAAAAAACGGTTCACTTCTAGCATTAGAGAACCTCAATTAAAATCAGGCTAATAACTTGGAAAGGAAGAGGATAAAGTAATAGCAGCAACATAACTGTAGGTTATTTGCTTACTCCAGGACATCAATAGGAATATTTGTAGAAACACTGGGATAGGTTAACTTTCTACAAGGAAAAAAAAAACACACAAAAGGTTTGCAGGAGAAATTTGTCAAAAGTGTAGGACACGGGAAAAAAAGAACACTGATAAATTCAGAAGCACCAGCCTAGTGGTTATTTTCTATGGGGAAAAAAATAGGGCACAATAGTTGATGACAGCTGTAGCTCCATTGATGGCTTTGTACAGGAAACAAACCAGCTAAGCACCAGTGCACTGGGACATGAATCTAGCAGAGAAGAACATAGAGTTCTCAGAAATAATGGCAATGATATTTCTGTCAATTGTTTAGTCATAGGAGAAGACAAGGTTTAATTCAGAACTAGGACAGGTATATTTCTTAAGTAGGGAAAACTAGAGCATGAAAGCTAAAATATTCTATCACAAAATCCCATTTCAGTTAATGTTTGAATTTGCTACACAAATAGCCACATATCAAAATATGTAAAAAGTAAATTGGAAGTTAAAATTGAAATTAAACACATTAAAACAAAGCAAGTAAGACAAGTGGAGGCCATTGAAGGATGATACAAGTGAATCAGGTGAGACACGAACAGCTGGAGTTTAAATAAGACAAAAGTGAGCCCTTAAATTGCTCCAATTATGAAAATGAGTGGGGTTTTAGATTGCTCTCCAAGTTAATAGTGGTTGTAGATTCATTCTAACTAACACTCTATTTTCTAGGCTCTGTGAAAACAGATGGCACCTGTAATGAAATCCAATCAGTTGAGCACATTTGATAAAACGACATGGTGAAATAAGAGACTAAAACACAGGAGTCTATCTTGCAATACAGTAAGAAAGGAACACAGAGTCTTAGTCTCTAGAGTATGTCACTGACAACTATTGTTAGTGACAAAGTAATTCATAGCATGCAGTTTTGCAGATACATCAATTAAATCCTACCCAACATTGTTAAAGAGGATTAACTTAGTATTTTTTATTATTATATATTTTTTAAGTCAAGTCAAATGAGAATTTATTTATAGCCCATTTCATATGACAATCATTGGCCTAATGGCCTGGAAAAAAACTGAAAATAAGACAATCAATGCATATACTAAAACCATAATAGGAACATTTTAAAACCAGAGCACATACGACATATAGAAAATGCAATAGTATCAAAATATCACTTTATTTTCTCTTCAAGCATCCCTCTGTAAAGACAGGCTCTGCTACTCTCAGCTTTTGTTTGGTTTCTTCAATCTTTTACCAGAATAACATTATGCAACCATATAATGGATATTTCACAGTACAATGCTTAGATTATTATTATTTTCTTGTGCAAGGCATGTGTCTTAAAACTGTCCCCTTTTTTCTAACACTGTACCGTCAAACTCTGCAGCAAAACTCTGGAAGGAAAGGCGTTTTTTTTTTGAGTGACAAACCTCACTCGTGCTCGTTTTTGTTGCTTTGACCTTTAACAGGGCTTGCAGACATGCAGACTTGAACTAATGTTGTCATATCTTGTAGTTGCTTAAGTCTTGAATTGTCAGAAGACTTTTTAATCATCTGGTGGCATGATTGCATGATCTCATTGTATTATGTTCAAATGATATACCACTGCAGGCACCTTCTGTCTATGCCTTTTACCCTTTTTAGCCCTTGTCAGTTTGGGGCATTGAATTACATGCAGGGATCCAGATGGATAAATTGATATCCAGGCATAAAATTCCAGTGAAAGGTTTACATGTTTACAGGAAAATGGCTGCCAAATGGCTTTAAATGATGTGCTTGAACCCTTTTTATTAGGGGAAAAAATATTCCAGAACAAACCATATTGCAAAAAAACAAGCAGAAAACCACCAGAAAACTTAACTATGCAGCATGATTTGGAGTATACTACAAAATAATTATGACAAATCTAATTGTGATACAAAAACAAAACAAAAAAACATATTTTCAATGAAACAAAAACAGAACTCCAGTTTTTCTGAATTCCAAATTCTGCAAAAAAAGATTACCTACAAAAAATTTTATCATACCATTATAAAACACTTTTCGAAGTTATGGCAAATACCTCAACAAAGTTTGCCCAGCTAGTTGTTAGGTTTAGTTCTGAACTACTTTTACACATAATTTGAAATTTGAAACCTGCATATAGTATTAACTTGGTTTATGTTTAAAATTAAAATTGCATTGAAGGTCTAAAACATTTAAATGTGACAGAAAAGTAATTACAGAGGAAGTCTCTATAATCTACATATCAGAATTCTTGTACGGTATATGGCATAGATATAGTATGAATACCATTTTAGGCATACTGAGTGTATTTTGATTTTGACCATCCAGTTTTTTTCCCCATCCATCTTCTGCCACTGATTTGTCAGGTTCACACTGGTGTCTATTTCCAGGTCACCAGTCCATTGCAGTGTTTTAACCATTATCTAATAGTCATACTTTTTTTCTAAGTTGAGTGTATTGTCCTCTACAGAAGACATCGGGAAAAACTCCAGGCTCACTTCTCTGACAGCCGCAGCTTGAGAGAGTGTAGTGTCAATGCCTCTGGTCTCATGTCCAAGTCCACTCCCAGGATTCAATACAGTCTTCATCTGCAAAAGGTAAGTCTTCTGGTCGACACTGATCTAATTTTTAAGCCTGCCTTAATCATCATCACTGCAATTTCAACTTTGTTTAGGCAGGATTAATACAGAAGAAAAAGTTCAGAATACTTGACAGTATGATCTATGATATATGTCCTAATAGCCTCTCTGCTGACTGAAGTCTTTTGTTCAGACTGAGGGGGAGCTACTGCATCATACTTTGAAATAAATGTGCAATGTATTTTACAAGAAAGATCAGCCTGTCATATTCGCAGGGACACCCAGGGGAAATGAAAACTTGAAATTAGATATCTAAAATGTTTCATGTACTTCTAGACAACTTTAAGATATGTGACACCAATTATAAATTATAAATTCCAATCACACAGAGTTGATTGGAATTTATATTTGCTGTTGGTCTGGAGAATCCCTGAATTTATAAGAATAAAGAGGGTCTTCCCAGCAAAAGTGTAGAAGACAAAAAGTTTCTTAAAGCAAACAAATCACATCTCGCAAGACATAAAGCTTAATTGAGACTTTTGGGTACAAAACAAGTGACCAAACAAATGGAAAAAAAAGTGAAAAAAAACTGAAATTCTGTGATATGATTTTCATTTTATCACAAAATGCGAAAATAAAAAAAAACCAACATAACCATACAGTGTTCTAAATGGCAGCTTTGTGAAATTTCAGACGGTAAAGTTTGTGGTTAAACTTTGCCTGATACGAACATAAAATATATCTTCACGGTTAATAGCTTCTGTCTTTTTTTTAAACACCATTGCTTTGACACAAAACACTTTCTGTACATATATGTACTGTGGCTGTTGTTTTGGATGACTGAGGAATAGCAGAGAAAAAAACTGATAAAAGGTAAGATCAGGGGCCTTGAGCAAAAAATGAGTGTAAATAACTCAAATGGCCCAGTTAGGCTTGTTCATGGATTTGCCATGGCCTGTCACAAATGCAGTCTAACCAGCAATAAGACTTGAGAGACAGTAACAAATTCCTACTTTCATAAAATGAGAAAACAAAATGTAGTATATGGGGCTAGCAATAGAGAACAAATGGCCTATAAACTAGATAGAGAACTGACCTCCAAAGCACCAGGGGGCTGCACAAGATAAAGCTTCATGGAAGAGGTAAGTGCACTCTATTGCACATTTGCAATGGTCTAATCAAAAGAAAATTGTCCCTACAAGTACAATCATATGATGTAATGCAGCTGCAGTTTGCTGCCTACTCATCGTCTTTTTTATTTGTACTTCTGACATTTTTCAGAACTAAGATGCTTTTTTCTTATTTGCTACTTTTAAAATTGGCTGTATTATTTTCAACTATATAGATGCTATATTCCCAACATCTGCCTTCAGATTATGTAGTAGTGGAAATGATCTGTCTTTTGTCTCTCATGCATTGCACAGGCAGTAGAGCATGGTTCAGTGATGGCACACGATGACATTGTCAAAAACATGACTAGCAAAGGCAAGGTAGTCAATGAAAACTACTGGTTGTAGCAAGAGGTGCAACACATGGTGTACATGCTTAATATGTGTTTGCCATCAACCTACATGATACAACATTCTGCAAAATCTCCTTTTAAGACACACAGTAACTTTCTATCTCATACAATGCGTGAGCATAAATATTAAGGGCAAAACTGATTAATTCAGACAGACCCAAGCACAATATGTGTTTATAAAAAGCCAAGCACAGAGCCATGAAGTAAACTGAATGCATGTCTTACCATAAGATGAGTTTCAGCCTCCTTTCTGAACTTTCTATTTACTTTCTGCTCCAGTTTTTATTTCAGTAGTAGCTGTGCAAACCTTTTATTTTTCGTGTACCTTCAGCAACATGCAACATTTCACTGAGATACTTTTACAGGTTTCACAAGATACTTTTACATGTTTGGCAAAACAATTTTGCAATGTTTGATAAAATTATCAGGGGACGTTGGTGTTCAGGAAATTATAACAGGTCATTTTGGAGAATTATTATCATGCAAATTACAGACATGTCCGATTCACAGGAAATTAACATAACAGATTATCTCAAACAGACAGAGACAGCAGTTATTACAAATTGAATATGGTGTTTTGTAAAACTCCCATCAGAATAGGGCTAAAGTTAGTCATTACCTTTTCATCATGTTGGTGAACTACATAATCGTTCCAGACCAAGCAACCACGAGAATGCAAACCCTGCCAAGAAATAAGATACCGTTGTGACCATAATGATTGGCTTTAATGTAGCTGATGTGTACAAAAAACAGTGCATTGTGGTGTGAAATCATATTCACGGGTTCTGTAACCTGCCCTTGACGACTCATGAAGCTCTGGTCTGACAAAGCAGTTAGTGATAGCCTGATGCTGTCAATCTGAACAAGCCCACTGTTTTCTCCAACTTGTAAAAGGGTTTTGTCTAACTTGTAAAACTGTCTGAGGTAAATGTAATATTATGTACTTTCTGCAATATGCAGAACATATTCTCATGACCAAACTGCCCAAATCCTGGCTTTTTACAGTCACTTTCAGACTGTCTGCATTAGATTGGAGCAAAGTCAACAACAAAATGCAAGTGACAGTCCATTGTTGCTCCGTGCTCATCCAAAATGAATTAATACTGCAAGTCAATGACTTAGTGCAGTCTGTTGGGTTTTTCTTAGATGGATAACCTTTCAACCAATCTGTCTGTATTCATTTATTGAATTGACTCTCTAAAGTGGATTGAGATGACATGTTAATTTCCACTATAAAAATAAATGTAATTTCGTTGAGTAAATAATAATTATGATAATTGTTCCAGAAGGGACTTTGTCCATAATAAATATATCTTAATATATATATAATATTTTTTCCTCTCCACATAAATAAATGTTCTAAAGTTCAGAAGTGTATCCTTACATTTTTTTCGGGGGCAGATTCTACTTCTGCAATGAAAGATGTATACATATATATTTAAGTAAATTTAGAAGTATTTTTCAACCCCCTTTGCATCGTGATTAATGTGGCAAGCACTGTATTTGTTGCAAGAAATTCCTCATCTGTAGTCAGCTCCAGCCTGTTTCGTGGCTCCTTAATAATTTAACAGTATCTTGTGTCAACCTCTAGAAAGTAAAACCCCTTCAGCTAGCTCCACCCACAGAATTGCAGCTGTCGGAATTTGAAAGCTCTTTCTCCATGTCATAGAAAAAAAAAGAGTTAATGTTATGTCTCAAATATAAAAGCACTTGTAGGTGAGTAATTTTTTATTTAGCAATTTCCCTTTGCTTTTAAACTTTAATACTGTATATTGCACTAACACATAATGTCAATGCTGGGAATATGAGATGGTTTTGATAGGATTGTATAAGGCACAGCAGAGAGAAAATATCTGTATCAGGACATAAAATACGGTCACAGCTGGATGAGGAAAAGAAAGTCAGGAGAAGGGCAAACTCAAAAATAAAACACAATAATAACGCAACAACTCAGAAACAAAAAAGCTATTTCTGAACAGTGTGAAGGAAGCTTAAGGAGGGATATGAAAGATTACCAGCTATAAGTACCCAGGAGGGGGCACAAGCTGAACAGAAAAAGAAAAGATTAGGAAGAGAAAGACATTTTTTCCATAGATTTGACACATAGACCCCCAGACCACTGCTTCTCACCTCCCACTCCCACAGCTTGAAACCATCCAGGGAGAGAACATACTCTGTGGGTGGTGCAGTCCAACCAGTTCCCTATTTTTCTTTTAAGTTTGCACAGACAAAATGAAACAAATCAGCAAGAAAGAACATAGCAGCATTCTCTTTGAAGAGACTCGGACCCATCTGCTGCATAACTCAGCCATAGAGCACAATGGATGGTTCCTGTTTTTTTCTATGTGCATTTTAAGCAGTTACTGTAGCTGAGGGATGAGACCAGCAAGACAGAAACAAAGCATTGGCTTTGCTTAAGGCAGGTGCAGACAAAAAAATAAATAAAACAAAAGTCAATTTGGTCATTGTCCTCCATGAAAAAACAATGCAATGCTTTATATTTCTTTTATAACCCCAGAAATGTGTCACCACACAAGCTAAAGTGTTTTGACATCTATTTTTCCCTCAAAGTTTGTTGTGTAATAATTTAAAACCTTTCAGTGTAGTTCAGTACCTTAACATGGCTTTGAAATAATAATTACGGGGCAAGTGCTCTAAGTCTCGGACAAGACAGAGGTTACAAAACCCAGGATACTTTCCAAAAATAGATAGCAGGTCACTGGCTTTTCCTTTACACAAGAGTCATTTCTTCCATGCACACTTAATTCCTGAACATCATGGATTTATATGAATGAAAGAACCATGTGGAATTATGTTAAATTTGACAAAAGCTCAGTGATTTTCTTCCTGCTTTGATTACTTTAATCAGCAGCTTAGAGTGAGACTTGTTCTGCACTGTGATGAAAGACTACTAATATTTTCAACTCAAAAAATCTTTGAAAATGCTTTATATAATCAAGTTTTACCAGAACGCAAAATCTTTTACTGATGCTACATTTTCTTCTCTCACCAAAATAATCAGGCGTGTAAATTTTCAGTTATAATTATCACAATCATGATTATAGCCCAGGCTATTTAAAATGAAAATATGGAAAGCTTTTCTTAGCCATGAGCAATACAAAACAAGAATATTTCTCTCAATACTTTTTCGAACTGGTCTGCACTTCAAAATTAATTTGTTCCGAACGACAGTTTTAAAGTCTATTTTTTTAAATAAAAATCTGCTCTTCATCCTCTTTTTTTTTCTTATCAAGCTTTGTAGGGAAAGGCTAAAAAAACTGCTCTAATTTTTTCAATATTATTTTGTTTCATTTCTAAGGACACTGCACAAATTGAGAAGACAGTCTAGTTATCCATAATAAAATAGGAGCAAAGTTTAGTAATCCAGGGACACAAAATGCAACATAAACGCTTCGTATCTCTGTTGCAGTCTGACAGCCTTATGCTCATCAAAATGCTTAAACACCAAAATGTTGACGCTGGGTCAAATGCTGCC